CGGAAAGTTAATTAACAAACGGAGACGTAACAGTATTAAAATGTAAAATAAAAGTTATGTTTATCTGGTTTTATGCCGTTGTACTTCTAGGATCAACCTTCTCAGACGACTTTTATGGGTGATATCGGAATTCAGATATGGTTTGATCATAGTCGAAATGATTTGGTCATCACTCTGCTCTCCGCCAGGGGCCTCCGCCGCAGAACACCCTCTGGAAACTTACCTTGTGCCTTGGCAAAATTGAGATTGGTCCCTCATTCGTATGTTTGTTTCCTGGATTAAAAAATAATTTCTAAAAAAATACAAGAAAAAAGCTCAAAAGTAGTTTACGAACACAAAATGAACGTCAGTCTTTCTCTTGAGTCTGTTAAATCTTAACGTTTACAAGCAGAAAGTTTAGAAAATAAATGATATCTTGACATAGAGTAAACTACATTTCTTAAGTATGTTATATCTTTGTTGCTGATAGGTCTACTTATCATACATGTTAATTATAATAACTATTTTATTGTGTGGTTTTATGAATTTTTTAAATGTCGAATAAAATTCTATACATTTAGGCCGTTTTAAATATTTAGTGTTAGTATTTCCTGTTAGTTTTTTTGAGTGATATCCGAGTTCCTTATCCGTCCACCAGGGGTTTCGGTGCGCGAGAGACCAAGGCAGCAGATCCCGGTACAACGCCAGAATGGAATAAGACCTTCATTTTCCCTTCAATATCTGCTGATAAGGTATTAAGTTTAAATTTATTACTTCTAAGTTTAATTTCAGCCGTAAAAACGCTGTTTTCAAATCAGATATGTAAATGATAAATCAAATTTCGTTTGTAGTTTAAAATATACGACTAGGCCTAATCAGGCAACAACTAATTGACTCCCAATTGCGGAAAAATTAAAAACGCCATCAGCTATTTGAATCGTAGGTGTCTCTGACTTGACCTTTTTTTGGCGCAAGTACGTATGATACGCCGTTCGTGTTTAAAATTGTAATTTCCTCATCATTAATTGAAAAAGAAAAACGACAATATTCCACCCGAAAACACGTGATTAATTTTACATAGCCTTATTATTATTGAAGGTTAAAGTTCAAATAAATGTGTGTGCTTTTCCAATATGAGTACTTAGAGTTATTTAAAAATTAATATATTAAAATAGTATAAACTAACAATAATAATTATTAAAAAGTGGTCTTGGTTGTGACCCTAAATATTTCATATAATTACATTTAATAAAGTTCCAGAATAAGTCAATATTTACCTTAGAATCCCAGTAAGGGTTAAATTGGTTATTAAGCTAGAGTGTAACATACAGGGATCTGGCAAGTCTTATTTTCTTAAATTACGGAACGTTGTGTACAGTCAGTATGAATTAAAACATGATCTGTACAGTCAGCGTGAATTACGGAACGCTGTGTACAGTCAGTATGAATCAAAACATGCTGTGTACAGTCAGTATGAATTAAAACATGCTGTGTATAGTTAGCGTGAATTAAGGAACATTGTGTACAGTCAGCATGAATTAAGGAACTTTGTGTACAGTCAAAATGAACTATGATATGCAGCGTACAGTCAGTATTAATTAAGGAAGGCTCTGTACAGTCAAAATGAACTATGATATGCTGCGTACAGTCAGTATGGATTAAGGAAGGCTCTGTACAGTCCAAATGAACTATGATATGCTGCGTACAGTCAGTATGGATTAAGGAAGGCTCTGTACAGTCCAAATGAACTATGACATAGTATGAAAAGTGAGTCTCAACTCAGACATGTTGTGGTATCAAGTATGACATGCTGTAAAATGACTAAATACGTTTCATTCTGCCCACATTATCAATATTAACGTTGCTGAAGTGAAAGAGTTTCGGTTTTTGTAGCACGTGATCTCTTGTTAAGATCGTTTCATATCAAGTCACTTGTGATTTGGACCCCGATCTTCCTTCCCAACCTTCTTTACTAGGGATCGACACGCATCTTTCTTATTTATTTTTAATTTTGACGCCTACAGTCAGACTTAGAAGATCATATGAAGTTGTTAGAGACAGAGAAGAAAGATAGAATATACATAATTTGTTAACGCGATGTTAGAGACGTCCATCAAGTTATTCATTTACTGACGTAGATTAATTGACAGTTCTGTAGCTCCTCACACCATATGTTCTGTTTTTAAGGTTGTTAATGTCAATCATATATTTATTCCTGTATTCGTTATATTCGTTTCTGGAAAGTTGAAATGATATAACGATCTTTACTATAAATCATAAAGGCTTTCTTGTACATAAGATACGTAGCGCCTCCTTGCGGATTTAAAGGATTTATCTCTACGGCTTAATTAATCACCTTTTTACTTACCAGAACAAAATAAAAAGACGAAGTACGAAAGTAATTAATGAGTAATTTTTCTGTGAATTTTTTTATTCAACATAAGCACAGTTTTTTCAACCAAATTATTTGAATATAAAACATTTCAAATTTAAGACTAACTTCCACACATTGCACTGGATATTATGGACTATTTTTAAAACCCCTTGTGTTTTACTTTAATACATCCCAAGTAGAACTTTAATTAAATTAGTTTGTTTTATTAAATTAAAATTTTTATTCTTATATGAGGTGTTCTGTTTTTTTATTTTTTTATTTTGCTTATTTTAGATTTTAAGTTATAAAAAGGGACAGATATGTGCGTCTTTGGAACATCAGTAAACCGCGTCTCGTATTAATTACCTGCATATTTTGTAACATAACTTTGTTTTATTTTTAGTTATTGGAAAAATCCCTCGAGGTTACAGTTTGGGATCAGAGCCCCACGGGACAAAAGATTCTTCTGGGAGGAACTGAAATTCCCCTCCGTAAAACTGATCTCTCAGATTGTCCGGAGTGGTACCCATTGACCAGTAACCAACTGCCGCCATCATCGCCTTCATCAACCCAGAAAACGACACCTAGTGGCATGTCTGGTCACGACATGACAGTGCGTAAAACCGTTAACCAATCAACTGATGTTTTTCACTCATTCTCAGGTAAAAACATAATTTTCAACAAATGCGCCTATCTTCATTTAACGTTTAGAAACTTAGTATGATTCTATTTTTCTCTCCTTACTAGGCCCCGGCATGGCCAGGTGGTTAGAGCGCTCGACTCGCAATCTGCGGGTTCGAATCCCCGCTGGCCCGGCATGGCCAGGTGGTTAGGGTGCTCGACTCGCAATCTGCGGGTCGCGGATTCGAATCCCCGTCACACCAAACATGCTCGCCCTTTCAGCCGTCGGAGCGTTATAATGTAACGGTCAATCCCACTATTCGTTGGTAAAAGTGTAGCCCAAGAGTT